TTGACTATGAGGGTGAGCCCGGTAGTTTGTCTTGGCCCCCGCTAAGTACTCATGTTTAGAGGTGGTGTTGGACCAGTTGTGTATTATGCTTGAGCTTGACTCATCTATGGTATTTATGTATCATTCCTTTTTTTGTTTCTCTTGCTCCCTTAGTCCCGATTTCCCCCTTGATTATGCTTATCGCTTATGGTCATTTATATTGCTTCCGCGACCAAGGATGTGTAATGATACGCTATGAGGCTTGTTTGGGGTTCCTTCGGGTTCCCCATTCGTCGGTCACGTCTAGGCCCTAGGCTTGGGTCGTGACAGTTGGTCGAGAAGGAAGTACAACTCCATCTGGGTGATTGTAGACAGGTTGATAAAACACGACAACTTATGTTGTAGGAGATTATGCCAAACATTATATACATGAGATAATTCTCCTACAAAGCATTCCTTTTTCAATTATTTCAGATAGAGGTTTACAATTTATAGTGACCTTCTCAAATCCTTCCAAAAAGATCTAGGTATTCATGTGATCCTAAGTACCGTATTCCATCCTCCGAGTGATGAATAGGCTGAATGCACTATTCAGACACTTGAAGATATGTTGCATGTATATGTACTAGACTTCAAAGGAAGTTTGGATGATCGTATATGTTTGACTATGTTTTCTTATTATAATAGTTACCACGCGAGTATTGAAATGCCTTCTTATGAAGGTTTATATGGGTGGAAGTGTATATCACCAATAGGTTTATTTCAACTTAACGAGGTAAAATTATTGGGGCAAGATTTAGTGAAGCAAGCTATTGATAAAATAAAGTTAACCCTCATTCGAGGACAAATGATTTAAGGAGGGGAGGATGTAATACCTCATATATTTTTTAAGGCAAGTAACTCACTAAGCTTAACACGTACGCGTAAAAAAAATTATTTACATAATCTTTCTTTCGAGCAGATTTGGGAAAATTGATATGACCCATAATTTCTCTTCCAAACAAATCGTAGACATTAAATCTAAATTTCATGCATTAGACTAATTCCCCACTCAAATGGATCTCTTTTGAGGATCAATCGAATATCAGAAATATGATTAAGTTTACAACCTTAACCCATGAATTAATCCCATGCTAATTTTTCTATTCGCATGTTAAATTTCCTAAATCTATGAATGAACATCCATAAAATAGAGAAATAAACAACACCCACTACATTAAATCAACACCTAACCCCATAATGGCATCTTTAGAGTTGGGGTTTTAGACACACATCACAAAAAGTAATGAAATTATATCTATCATGAGAGAAGCCATGGATGTGATGAAATTAAGCAATTATAATCAACACCCACTATGATTTGAACTTCCAATTGTCAATTTCAATAGCGGAATTTAAATCCCAATAACTAGAAATATTTCTCTAAGAGTTCAAAAGTTTGCTCTCTCAAAACTCATACAAAGTTAGGAACTCAAATTTTATTCTAAAATATCATAGATTTTCTCTCTCCTTTGGGATATTTATAGTTTCTTAGAGTTTGGGCCAAAATTTACTATGTCACAAATTTGTCAACTTTAGTCTAGCTCACAAAGCAGATTTGGTGAATTGCCCTCTATTCCTTTGCTCACGTTTCATTTGCTTCAGGTTTCAAGTGTTTGAACATCAGTCAAAAAAATTGTTTGAGTTTGACTTTCACATTTAGTGGATCGCTGATTACCACCTTTGATCTCCTTTGAAACCTTCATATTTAATCCAAGTCGTGTCACATTTGGCGATGGTCCTTCACTTCACCCATCACTTTTGGTGAGTTGTCATTTCACTCATTTGTTTTCCAACTACCTTGAACATTTTGGCCATTATTTAAAGTAGTTATCCTTGCCTTGTCCCTTAGATTTCATAGCTGCAAATAATCAAAATATCATAAGAATATGACATAACTAGGTATTGAGAACACTAATTGTTGAACTAAATATGCCTCAAATGAGTATAAATCTACCACTCATCAACACCCCCAACATAAACTTTTGTTTGTCCTCAGTAAATCAAGAATACAATTAGTTCAACAAGGGTGTCTAAATCAAGAATACAATTGTTTAAGTATGCTCCAAGCTTGGTAGCTAATCCAAGGGATTTGATGAATAGGCTTATGACAGGGGTGTTCGATTTGGTAGAAGAAGAATGTCATATGGCAATGCTTGTTGATGATATGGATATCTCACACCTCATGGTGTTTGCCCAACAAATATAAGAGCTAAACTTCAAGAAAGGTGTTTGATCTTTTTGGATATTTAAAAATTACATTTAAAAAATCCTATAAATCACGATAATTAATAACTTAAAATATTTAAATTTAAAAGATAAAAAAGTTTGATTGACTCTCGAAATACTAACGGAGCCACATAATTTGGGACAAAAATAATAACATAATTATTTGAAAGTGACGTAAAAAGCACTACAAATCACAATAAATAACAACTTGAAATACATTTTAACCATATAAAATTGGCAAAAGTACTCATTACCCCCCTGAACTTGAAGTTTTTTATACGGTGTACATCTAAACTAAATTTCGTTTTAATTACCCCCCGAACTTGTTTATTCCTCCGTCGCGTACACCTTTATTGTCCACATGGCGTAGAAATTGACAACACACTCTACTAGGCGCGTGAGGAAGTGATTTTTTGCCACATCATAAAGGTACATTGTTAAAAACGTAAAATCTCCATTTTCCTTTAATATTTGGCATATTTTTAAAAGATTTTTTCTCTCTCTATTCTCTTAACTATTTTATTCTCCCTTAATCCCTTTCTACCCTTTTCAAATTTCAGAATTTTTCTCTCTTTTTTGTTTTAATTGCTCTTGCTAAATTCATGAATTATAATAGGAGACTTGTTTGCTTATGTGGGACTCCTCCAATTCTGAAAATTTCATGGACAAATGACAATCCCGGACGTAGATTTCTTGGTTGTAGACACTATGGGGTATGTATTGTTTCATATTTTTTTGCTTTTTATTTGCCAAGTTCGTTTTATGTAATTTTTTTAAACTTTGATTTTATGAAATGCAGTCCTCATTTCAAAATCCTTGTAAGTTTTTCGATTGGTATGATCCAGAATTTTCTAACCAGGCGAATACTATGATTTTGGATTTGTTGAAGAAGACCAACAAACAAGAAAAACAGTTGAAAATGTAGAAGGATGTTGAAACTGATTTTGGGCATTAGTTTGATATGTAATGTGATATTGTTCTTTTATTTAGTGTGTCGTTGAAATTTTTTGTGAATGCAATTGTTATTAACGCAAGGTCTTTTGGTTCTAGGATTCTCATTTTGTGGATTAGTTTGGTTTGGTGTTTTTAGTGATGTATGTTTATGCTGATTAAAGCTATATATATATATATATACACTTTTGTGTGTGTTCAATTGACTTGTCCTTTTTTCATAAAACTACAGTTACATGTAATTGGTAATATGATAACAAAACACGAAATAATAACATAAAAGGCATAACATAACTAGTGTTTTCTTGATCATCAAACACAAACATCATAGTGTTTCATTGTTTCAACCAACAACCACAATAACTTAAGTTAACCACCAAAACAAAAAACAGTCACTACTTTAAGTTTGGTTGAACAACCACACAAGCACAAAATACAACCACACAACTAACAAGTTTTCTGTGAGGGTGATTTTCCCTTGGCTTGTGCCCTTGTTTGAACTCCAACAACTTTTGATCTGGTTTGAATATGACGCATAACACTTTGGACTCGAAGTTCTCTTTGAGTCATGGCCTGTTTCTTCCACTTCAGCCCTTGAGGTTTAAAACCAATATCACCTGTCACATGCGCAGAACTCACCACACCAGTATTAACCCTCCTACTGCTAGACAATCCTTGCTGCAATATTAACAACATAGTTATTTTGGGTCTCACATTTTAAAAATATTAATTTTGACAGTTTTATAAGACACTTACATTAATACATGTATATCCAGTATCTGCAACAAATACACCTTGTCCAACCACTTTAGGCCTCTTCTTGTAACCACTTCCTGCACCTCCTCTTGTACTAGTCTTGTTGCTGCTTGCTCTTTCATATTGACCTCTACCCCTCTTTTTTCCAGTGGTGGACTAATATGAGTAGAAAAGAATACAACAAGAGATTAAATTAATAAGTAACCTAATCTAATTTATAAAAGTAAATTAATGTGAATGTACCTCTTGAGTGGGTGTTGGTGTAGACTTAGGTTTAGGATTTTTGGACAATTTCTCTTATTATGATTTGCTCCTTTGCAAATTGAACATGTCATTACTGTCCCCCATTCTTGGCAATTTCCCAGCTTTTCTCACTTCACCAATTTCTCTCCTTCTGTTCTTTGGTGGCCTACCAGGCATTTGCCTTGCCTCAGGTGGTTCAACCATTGAGTTTCTGCTTTCAGGCCACATTTCCATGTTTGGGACTGGTTGAATGAAATGAGAATATGTCTTCAAATATGTCTCTTTTCTATACCAGCTTGAAATTTCTTGTGATACATCCATGTTCAAGTGGTTCATTGCTGCTATACCATGTGCACATGGGATACCTTTTAATTCCCAAGATCTGCAACTACATTTTTGTTGACCCAAGTTCATAGTATGCTTGTATACCCCTTCTAACACTTCAAATCCATCATCACCATTCCATTCAATGTTGCACTGCATTGATCTTGTTACATTGAATACCATCATTGCGATTGGAGATATTCCATCTGTCCATGTTTCAGCAAATGCTCTTGACTTTCTCACCCTACTCATCACCTTAACTCTAATTTCTTCCAACATAGTTACAATAGTCTTGTTCCTAGGTCCCAAGATCCAAGCATTGAAACTTTCTGCCATGTTGTTATCTATACTATCACATTTTGAAAAAGTTTGGAAAAAATCTTTGCACCATTTCTCCTTATTGTATTTGATAAGGGCTTCAACTATATCTTTTCCCAACTTGGATAGTACATTTATGTTGTACTTAAATTGTGCCTCAAATATTGATCTAGCACAAGCCCAAAATTTCTTCCTTCTCTCTATGCCTCTGAAATTTTGTGACCAATTTGCTAATATGTGTCTAGCACACATTCTGTGCTCACATTCTGGAAATACTTCATTTGCAGCAGCTATTAGTCTCTGTAGTTGCAAAAAAATAAAATAAAGATAGTTAAATTTTGATCAAATTAAAGATAAAAAAAAAAGAAATTCAATTACCTTTTGCATATCACTAATGATAGTGAGCTGGGAACCATTTCCTAGATTAAGATCATTTTGCAGAATGGTCATGAACCATTTCCATGTCAACTTGCTTTCAGTACCAATTACTGCCCATGCTATTGGATACATTTGGTTGTTTGCATCCTTAGCAACAGCTACCAAAAGTTGACCCTTACAAATTCCTTTTAGAAAACACCCATCTACCCCTATACATCTTCTGCATCCTTGTTGGAAACCATTTTTCATAGCATCAAAACATATATAAAATGAGTGAAACTGTTTCATCCCATTTTCTGATTCTGAATCTTTAAGCTTCACAACACAAGTGCTATTAGGATTTGTTTGGAGTAACACATCCCTGTAGTCTAGGATTCTGTTAAATTCTGCCACATGATCCCCCATAATTTCCTTTAAAATAAGTTTTCTTGTTTTTAAGCAAACTGCCTTGCCTACATGAACATTCAACTCTTTCCTCACCAAATCTTGTATTTCCCACCCTT